GTACTGCAGTGTATGAATTATTTAAGAAACTATGTAGGCATATATATGTATAATAAATATATTATACATACTGTGAGTAGATATCCTAGGAATAGGATGAAATTTCAAAAAATATTATGACAAAGTAATATTTGTGGTTTTATATTCTTAAATGTAATTTATACGTATGCTTCTAGGTTTCTATATTAAGGAAGATGGCTATTCCATTGTGATCTGAGAGCCAACAATTGTGCTACATATTCATTGGTTCTACTTGCAGTTACTGCAAACAATTGTAACAGCATAAAGTGACAAGCTTTAACTCATTAAATGTGCAACTATATTATGTAAATTATTGAAAACAATCATTATTATTTTTGGTGTGCAATAGTTTTTGGATTTCTTAAGTTGGATTACTTTCGTCGTTTACCGCGATGGCAGCTCTGTCTGGATCTGTTTTACCAACAAGTTGGAAACAGCAAAACATATCATGGCTGAATATGGTGGTTTTCTGATTTTTTAACAATGTGTTGACTTTAATTAATGCATTGAATGACTGAAAAGAGACATACAATAGGAATAATTCATTGTGGAACTTCTCAGAACGAATGTGTTTAATCTTTGATGGTGTTATCTGATCTCAAGTGTTCTACCAAGCTGCATTGTATGCTATGAAAGAGTATATGATAAAAGTTTGTAGTGGACATGGCATATCACTAGATACAAGAGTATCTCAATTGCCTCTGGACAGATTATAAATGCTTGTAAAATAACATAAATCCTCCTACACCAGAGTGTTAGATCAATTGTGACTTTCAAAGCATCATATAAATATAAATGGATCGTATCTCTGGTTTATTACAGTGACATGTAATAAACAGAATCTCATGCCAAGGCTACGAAAGGAAAGGGGACTGAAAACTGGGTGGGGTGTTCAGTATTATGCAGCTGTAAGAAATGCTGTGTTTATTATACGAACACCCCCATATGTACCACCAGAGCCACCCCCGTCCATAAAAAGACATGATTCAGAGTCAGACACTCTGTACGTGTGTCCACAATGCAAAGATCGGTGAGTAATTAAAATCATTTTGATTAATGCAACACAATTCTGTTTACTCTAGAAATTCTATTTTGTCCCAGCTTCCATTTTCAAAGTAGTTTGGAGGATCACCGTGAACGAAAAAGTTGGATACTGGGCTATTGGTGCCAGTACTGCTTTCTGACAACATGCACCCATGATCCCAAGGATGGTTCACTTTGCTCTTCATGCTCAAAATTAGATCGCGAAAAGCGTACATATTTAAGAAACAAAGGCTTGCATGGAACTCAAAGATATGGAGCTGTCCAGTTGTTCTTTAACCAGTGTCAATTCCTGGCACATGTTAAGGCGCATTTTATCAAGAATGTGAACATGAACGACCTAATGTTAATGCCTATTCCGACGAATCTGAATCAGATCTGGGACCCAGAAATTAATATAACATGCGAGGCTGTTATGGAACACACCTTCATCATGAAGGTTCACATAATGGATTGGTTGAAAGACGAAAACATCAACAGTGATTGGTGGCAGATAACTAACAAAAAACCGAGAGATGATAACGATCTAATTACGTCGATCCTGAGAAATTACAAAGGCCGCCAGTACTTCAAGACAGTAGAGATACCGATAGAGGAGCAGGTTTATATCTTGAATACTAAATCTGTGTCCAATTTCAACAGCAAATCCTCCAGCATCGAGATGGTGGATGCACCAGAAAACACCGACAAGATAAAGAACCCATCCTTTGTAGATAGCCCCGTATACATTTCCGACGAGAACGAGATTGAGAACGAAGACACCCCTTGTACAATAAACGACATCGCCTTCGTGGATTGTGGCCCTGCATCGAATTACTTTGAACCTGAAAGCTCAATAAACCATTTTCCAAAAGGAATGGTTTCAAAAAGACCAGCTCTGAATTACACGATCGTCCCTAACATCACTAACTTGAAAATCAATAAATCCAAGAAGACGGCGAATGCGACGCAATGGTCCTACGGCAACACAATGATCACACCAAGGTTCGATACGAAGGATTCTCCCAAGAGTCTTCTCAAGAAGAACTCAACGAAGACTATAGCAGGCAAATCGGGCAAAGGCCCGATCAAACTGATCACTGAAAGCAGTACTATTGGGAAGGGGGGCAAGGCGACCACCGAGAAGAATGTATTAATTGTCGAGCCGTTGTCGAAGGTATTGCCAGACTCTACTTGCACGTCGAAAGCTGACAAAGCAAAGCTAGAGAAGCTGAAGCAGACCGCGTCCGTGGTGACCGTGAACTCTGGCCAGAAATTCGTCACGTTCCACAACACTCTACACATCGACATCAACACGATCATCAATCAATTGCCGTCTCATGTGGTTGGGAACAAGAAGATCTACTTGCTAGAACAAGACACAAAGCCGATCCTCGCTCACAACAAGGACGAGACATCTTCCGAGAAGATGATTCCCAACTCGAACGGCGTGAAGAGCAAAGAATCTACCGATAAGGATTCAAAATCGTCGAAGCCGACCGAGTCAGCCACGAAAAGAACTCAGCTGATCAAAAACAAGATCATCTGCCACAATGGGACGAAGTACATCATCAAACAGACCCCGGGCACTGTGAAGTCATTGAAGAGCAAGTCTTACGCGATTAAACCGTTGAAGGAACCACACGAGGCTACACCGTCGAAGTCCACAAGTAGCATCCCACCTTTGATACCTATAAAGTCCGCGGAATCGGAGAGCCTGTTAACCCCGGACCGAGTGAACGCTCTTCACGGCGACGTGTCTCCTCTGACACCCTCTCCCTCGCCTTCAGAATTATCCAGCAGCTCCAGCTGCGATACTCAGTCGAAGCAATCCGTTGTACCCAGTTGCAAAAGCACGCCGAAGATAGAGGCGAACAGCAGCGGCAAACTAGGGAAAGGACGTAGCTGCAGCGATTTCGGTAGTTCTCTATCCTTCCAGAAAGGACAGGACGAGAATCTTTATCTAAACGTGAAGATGCACAACGAGAAGCCGATCTACACTATCGTGGATTCTGTAGGAATGATAAAAAAATCGAAGCACGAAATGCTGAACGAGTTCTTCCACTTGAGCTACGCGGAGTTGAAGAGGCGTTACGATCATTTACAAGAGCTCAACGACGAGATCCTGAAGGTGATGGAGTTTGCGCCCGAGGGTGCGGTCAAGGAGAGCCTGAGGAGGATCAACATACTGCAGCTAGTACTGAAACAGTGCATGGACAAACGCATCGACAACGTCGGCGAGGGTGGTGTAAAGGATCCGCCGTTGGATGAATGGGAGGAAGAGTACAATCGAGTCGCCGTGAAGACGCTTTGCAAAGCCTGCGAGAAACCCAAGAAACCCGAGTCTTATATCCCGGGGTTCTCGAAGACTCCGAAGGAGGACATCTACTGCTCCTGCTATAGACACGTCTGTCACAAGTGCAACACTTACCAGGGGAACTCGACGAGGTTCGTGGCGCACCAGACCTTCCACGACAAGGAGAAGCCGTACTTGTGCCCTGATTGTTACCGAAAGTTCATGCTGTTCAGCTCGCTGGAGACACACACATGGACCAGCTGTTTCCATCCGCTGAAGAAGCGCGTCCTCGGCTGCAAGATCTGCGAGATCGACGGCTTCAGGGACATGGAGACCGTCGCCAGACACTTCGCCGTGATGCACAGCCATAACAAGATCGCCTGCGAGAAGTGTTACATCGTTCTACCGTCGTACGCCGATTACAAGAAGCACCTTAAAGACAAACACCCGGACGCTAATGATCCAGATCAACCTATTAGGCTGGTTCTATGCAAATTAGGCCACTGCATCATACGATGCGAGGAGTACATGCTTCACATGGAGAAGCACCTGGTGGTACAGAGACTGATATGGTTCACTTGTCCCTTCTGCGCGTGCCTACACGCCGAGGCGAAGAGGATCATGGCTCATCTGCAGAACGAACATCTGTCGCAGCTCTGCGAGCTCATAAGTCCGCAGATTCTGTGGAAGATCCTTCCGCCGCAGCTTGCTGGCAAATTTTGGAACACATCGGGAGGCACGGTCGAGAAGGAAGACGGGACGATGATTCCCAAGATCGTGAACGCTAGGACCATCACTTCCGAGGTGTTTGAACGCGGCACCGAGGAGCCTGTCGAGTACCTGCACGTCAACGAGTCTGTACAGCATCCCAGAGCCCTGAGGCCCGTCAGGAATCTGCCTATGATTCTGGAGGTCAGATCACTGGCTGATAGATCAGCTTCCGGCTCGCCGGTGAACGGAAGCGCGATGGAGTCCGAGGAGAAGGCTGCAGACAAGGAACAGGACCGGGACGTCATGATCGAGTACGTGAAGAAGGATTCTGCCAGCAGGACGCATAAGAAGAAGCAGGAACCGGGTAAGGGGATCGAATGTAGCTCCAAGATGGGCGTAGATTCTTCTGGGGAGAAGACAGAAATTAAAACCGAAATGGAGTGCGAAGACAGCCCTGAGAACATGCCGCTGTTGAAGCCACCTCCACTCGCCAGGATCCCGCAACGTGCTCTGGAGCCTGAGGAAATCCCAAGGTCGCCGCAGACAGGCAGGATGACGATGTTCGCTCGCAGTCAGAAGACGAATCGCCAGCTCTACAAGAGGTTAGCACTGAATGGTCCAACGAAGACGACGGAAACGGCTCTAAACTTCCTGTGCCCCCTATGCAGCGAAATGATAAACACTTCGTGGCCTGTGCTGTGCAGCCACTTCGAGAAGAAGCACGGGCAGAGCTGCAAGCTGACGATGGTGAATCCGTCGCTGGTGAGGATGTCTTCGGAGTTCATCAACGGCGGGTACAAGGACCTGTTAGGGAACCGGAAAAGGAAGCTGGAAAACGCGTCCACGAACGCCAAGAGGAGACGAAGATGGACTCCGAAGAAGTACTCCGAAGGAAGGAATGCCGGCTTCGCTGGGACCGGCTTGTGCGTCACCCAGGAAACCGCGGAGGACAGCGAGGGCAACTTCCGGTGCAAGAAGTGCGGCCAAAGATGCACCGACATGACGCACTTGAGGGAACACATCGCGACTGTTCACAGGATCAGGGGACGGTACTTGATTTGCTTGGAATGCGGTGACAACTTCGTGGTCGCGCCCAGTTTACAGATGCATCTGAAGGCGTTCCACGGGATAGAGGATCCCATAGCCTACATGGCAAGGAACACCTCGTACGCGCCCGACAGCATCGACGACCTTGACGTCGAGGGCAAGGCCATCGAGGCCAACCAGTGCCACGTCTGCATGGCTGTCTTCGAGGACAAGGCTGCGGTCGACAAACACCTTAGAGTACACGGCATGGCGTTCCTCAATCGCAAGAGGATAGAGGCGCAGAACGCCATGAAGGGCCCGAAGAAGAAGAGCGAGACCGACGAAGAGAAACCGGTAGCCGTTCCAGAGAAGACGCCCCCTAGAAAGAGTAAACCCGCGGAAACGATACTAGACAAAATTACAGTAAGTGTCCAGGTTTTTTCTGATTATGATTCCGGGGTACTCTAGTTGGAAGTTCTTCGAGTTCTTACAGATTCTTTTATAGCCTGTAGGCGACTAAATTGTTGTTGCTTTAATCGCTCGTCGTGAGGTCAATTTTCATTTTTTTATGATATAGAAATTCGCGGGTGTTGCTGAAATATGAACAAAAATAAACATAAAAAGTTCCACAATGATAAGTTTGATAATTCGGTGGGAGAAAATTCTGAAGTTTATCTTCGGATTAGAGTACTCGGACAAATGGATCAAAAAGTTGGTGTTCTTAAAGTAATTTCTTAAAGGAAGAGATTGCGACATATTCTGAAAATATTTTTTTCGATATTATTGTTAAGTTATTCGAGTGGATATAAAAAAATTTGATAGCTTTTGTAAAATGTTTGCGAATTCTTCTCTTGGTACAATGTGTTCTGACATCGATCGTTTGCTGTTTCAGGCGACCATATAGCTAACGGAGGCACGACTCTCCCAGAGCAGATGCGACTGATGCGGCTACTTAAAAAAGAACTTTCCAGTCTCGAAGCTCGCGAACCTGTGATTTCTTCGTTTTAGTTAAGTGCACGACGGACTCGTCGGGGATCTAGCGTTGATTAGGAAAAAGAAAAGGATTTGTTAGACGTTCTCAATAGTGTCCGGGACGAATAGTGTCGTAACAGAACTCTTTATCAAGTTAGGTTATGTCTTCTCTCTTACTCTATTACCGTGTTAAAGGTCGTACTATCTTGTTTCAAAGCGCACGTGGATCGTAATGCTTCTCTGTAAATACGTGGCATAGATATGGTAGGGAAAAAGTCGTACTCCAATAATAGTAATACAATTATCGCATAAAAGCGGACCTTCGAACCCCCTCCCCCACCCACCACCCCGGTTTCCTCCTATCCGATTCGCATTGCGGGATTTTTGGATAAGTTACGTTGTTGCGTCGTTTGTCAACGATTGCAGGATAGGCAGTGTAAATAGTTCCCTTTTAAAAAGATATATATATATAACTTTTTGTACTCTACTAATTCGTATACATCGTTGTACCAAAAGATAAACGAAAATAAAAATATTCTAATTTACTGCGGACACCTAGCGGGGATGAAGAAACACTCATTGATCAACAGCCACATAGAATATATATATATTTATCTTTATTACACCATCTGTAATTGCACCGACGAACATTATTGCTTAGTGATTAGCGACTCAATGATTGACACATCGATAGTAGTCGTGTGGTACGA